AAAACTTTTTGTTTGTTAAGATCTAACATCTTTTTGAGATTTAAAATTTAAGACAATGTTCTGTTAACCCTTACAACTAGACAAATGCACTTCTAAACATCTTTTTTTTTTTTTTTTTTTTTGAGACGGAGTCTGGCTCTGCTGCCCAGGCTGGAGTGCAGTGGCTGGATCTCAGCTCACTGCAAGCTCCGCCTCCCAGGTTTACGCCATTCTCCTGCCTCAGCCTCCCGAGTAGCTGGGACTACAGGCACCCGCCACCTTGCCCGGCTAGTCTTTTTGTGTTTTTTAGTAGAGACGGGGTTTCACCGTGTTAGCCAGGATGGTCTCGATCTCCTGACCTCGTGATCCGCCCGTCTCGGCCTCCCAAAGTGCTGGGATTACAGGCTTGAGCCACCGCGCCCGGCCGCACTTCTAAACATCTTAAAGGTGTTATCCCATGACACAGACCTGTAGCCTAAATAAGGGTCTGTCTTGATAGAATGTGGTGCCTTCTGTGTAATTGAGTAGACTACAATTTATTATTTACAGGGTCCACAGAGTTTAAAAGAGAAGTTTAATACTGAAAGCAGCACCAGTTTGGACTAAAAGGGACAATTCAAAATAAAAAGAGGTCTTTGGGCCCCCAACTCTGGGCAGAAAGTAGGCTGACAAAAGTACTCAGCCGCAAACATAGATCATTTCCTATTTAAAAGGAAAGACATCTCAGCAGGTAGAGTGCCAAGGGCTGAGAGGGTGAATTTGGAAGTCCAGGAGAGCAGTGGTGCACAATTGGAAATACCAGGGAGCAGAACCAGGCCCTAACTAGCCAAGGGAATTCTGGATTTGGAGTGGACCTGATATTTGCCTGGCTGAATATAAGAAGCTTTACGGATCAGTGACTCCTCTGTGTCTCCTATTCTCCCAAACCCCATTTTGAACAGGAGTATCTATTATGTTTATCCTGTCCCTGTCTCAGCATTGTATGTTAAGTGCGTGGGAGGTGGAGAACTTGTATTTTTAGGACACAGAGAGTGGTATGCTGGTAAATGTTTAATAACTGGTCTCCAGGGAAAAAAATCAAAAGCCCTGATTCGTAGTCTTTGTCAATTTCTTTTGTATAAATTCTCCCACCATGACTGATTTCAAGCTGCTAATGTGACATCACTGAATCCTAAGTTGGGAGAAGATGTTCACAATCAGCTTTCATAAGTCAGAATAAGCCAGGCGCTAGGACATCACTGAAGGCCTCTGCACCTGAAGAAATGTACCAGAGGAGCCTCACCTATATTTGCACCTAATTCAGGTGATGAGATGCTGGACTTCAAGCTTGATCCTGATGCCATAAAGGGATGAAAGTTTGTTTTTTTTTTGTTTTTTGTTTTTTGTTTTTTCTTTGAGACGGAGTCTCTCTCTGCCGCCCAGGCTGGAGTGCAGTGGCCGGATCTCAGCTCACTGCAAGCTCCGCCTCCCGGGTTCACGCCATTCTCCTGCCTCAGCCTCCCGAGTAGCTGGGACTACAGGCACCCGCCACCTCGCTCGGCTAGTTTTTTTTAATGTATTTTTAGTAGAGACGGGTTTCACCGTGTTCACCAGGATGGTCTCGATCTCCTGACCTTGTGATCCGCCCGTCTCGGCCTCCCAAAGTGCTGGGATTACAGGTTTGAGCCACCGCGCCCGGCCAAGGGATGAAAGTTTGATGGGGGTGGCTGGGAGAGGATGATTATATTTTGCTTGTGGGAGAGATATAAATTGTTAGGGGTCAGAGGGCAGACTTCAGGAGACTGCCAGATTGGTAGTCCCCAATAAACAGTACCTCATGGCTTTCACGCCTTCATCTAGTTCCATCTCACAGTGATTGATTCTAGGCTTGGCTACAATGACTTGCTTTGTCAATGGGATATCAGTAAGCAAGGTGTATGCAGAAGCTTGAGAATAATTTACACATTGAAATTATCCTCTTGGAATCTAGCCACCATTCTCTAAAGAAACTTGGGATAGACCATTGAATGCTAAGAGGCTTCATGGAGAGAGGCTGTTATGTTCTCTCAAAATTCATATGTTGAAATCCTAACCCCCATGTGATGGTATTAGGAAGCGGGGCCTTTGGGAGGTGATTAAGTAATGAGGGTGGAGCCCTCATTAATAGGATTAGTGTCTTTATAAAAGATTTCTAGAGAGCTGCCTTGCCCCTTTCCTCCATGGAAGGTTATCAAGAGAAGAGGACGCTCACCATAATCCCCTCATCGGCAGGCGCTAAATCTACTCTCTAGTTCCTGCTCCCTCCCACTTTAACATTCAAAGTACTTTACCTGTATTAGCCCTTTAATTCTGTCAACTATCCCATTTAACACATGAGAGAACTATTAACCATTAGGTCAAACAGCTAATAAATGGCTGAGGAAGAATCTGAGCCCAGGCTATCTAGCTCCGGTTCAAAGCTGGGTCTTGAAACAGGTGGGCGCTGGTGCAGTACCTGTAATCCTAGCACTTTGGGGGGCCAAGGCGAGCAGATCACTTGGGGTCAGGAGTTCCAGACCAGCCTGGCCAACATAGTGAAACCCCGTCTCTACTAAAAACACAAAAATTAGCCTGGTTTAGTGGCATTCGCCTGTAGTCCCAGATACTCGGGAGGCTGAGGCAGGAGAATGGCTTGAACCTGGGAGGCGGGGGTTGCAGTGATCTGAGATTATGCCACTGCACTCCAGCCTGGGCAACAGAATGAGACTCCATTTCAAAAAAACCACAAAAAAACAAGAGGGAATGAGGGGGGGCCAGAAATGGGAAGGGTCTTCAGACCTAAGAAAGAGCTTGCAAAGGGCTCAGTTTGCATTTTCTTTCTTTCTCCCTCTTTTTTTTTTGAAAGGGAGTCTCGTTTTAATTAAATTAATTTAATATTTAATTAATTAAAATTAATTAATTTTTAATTAATTAATTTTAGAGATGGGGGTCTCTGTTGCCCAGGCTAGAGGGTAGTGATGCAAACATAGCTCAGTCTCAAACTCCTGGGCTCAATGATCCTCCATCTCAGCCTCCTAAACAGCTGGGACTGCAGGTGCACTCCACTGCACCCAGCTAATTTTTAGGCTGGGGGCGGTAGCTCGTGTCTGTAATCCTAGCATTTCGTGAGGCCGAGGCGAGTGGATTGCTTGAGCCCAAAAGTTCAAGACCAACCTGGGCAACGTGATGAAATCCTGTCTCTATAAAAAAATATATGCTGGGCATGGTGGCTCATGCCTGTAATCCCAGCACTTTGGGAGGGCGAGGCAGGCTGATCACGAGGTCAGGAGATCGAGATCATCCTGGCTAACACGGTGAAACCCTGTCTCTACTAAAAAATACATAGAAAGTAGCCAGGCGTGGTGGCAGGCACCTGTAGTCCCAGATACTTGGGAGACTGAGGCGGAGAATGGTGTGAACCTGGGAGGTAGAGCTTGCAGTGAGCCAAGATCACGCCACTGCACTCCAGCCTGGGTGACAAAGCGAGACTCCATCTCAAAAAATAAAATAAAATAAAATAAAATAAAATAAAATAAAATAAAATAAAATAAAGTAGCCAGACATGATGGCACATACCTGTAGTCCTGGCTACTTGGGAGGCTGAGGTGGGAGGATCACTTGAGCCTGGGAGGTTGAGGCTACAGTGAGCTGTGATCATAACCACTGCATTCCAGCCTGGATGACAGAGGAAGACTCTGTCTCAAAAAAAAAAAAAAAAAAAAAAAAAAGTTTTTTAAAAAGAGACACGGGCCGGGCACGGTGGCTTACGCCTGTAATCCAGCACTTTGGGAGGCCGAGGCGGGTGGATCACAAGGTCAGGAGATCGAGACCATCCTGGCTAACACAGTGAAACCCCGTCTCTACTAAAAATACAAAAAATTAGCTGGCCGTGGTGGTGGGCGTCTGTAGTCCCAGCTACTCGGGAGGCTGGGGCAGGAGAATGGCGCGTGAACCTGGGTGGGAGGCGGAGCTCGCAGTGAGCCCAGATCGCGCCACTGCACTCCAGCCTGGGCGACAGAGCAAGACTCTGTCTCAAAAAAAAAAAAAAAAAAAAAAGAGAGACACGGTCGCTGGGCACGGTGGCTCACTCCTGTAATCCCAGCACTTTGGGAGGCTGAGGCAGGAGGATCACGAGGTCAGGAGTTTGAGATCAGTGATCAGTTTGGCCAACACGGTGAAACCCAGTCTCTACTAAAAATATAAAAATTAGCCGGGTGTGGTGGTGGGCACCTGTAATCCCAGCTACTCGAGAGGCTGGGGCAGGAGAATTGCTTGAACCCAGGAGGTGGAGGTTGCAGTGAGCCGAGATCACACCACTGCACTCCAGCCTGGGTAACAGAGCAAGATTCTGTCTCGGGGGGAAAAAAAAAAAAAAAAAAAAGTCAGGGTCTTGCTATGTTGCTCAGGCTGGTCTGGAACTCCTGGCTTCAAGTGATCCTCCTGCCTTCTGAATAGCTGGGATTACAGGCACGAGCCACTGTGCCCAGTCCCTTTATCCATTTTTCTGAGTCCCATTTTGACCCTGTTCTCTGATATGGCGACCTGAGGTCTAATGGGAACATGACATATAGTGAGGTATTGTAGTCCTGGTGCTTTATTTTTTCTTCTTTTACTCAAATGAGGCATCTGGAGGAGAGGGGAAGGGAGGGGCTAGATCCTGGGGCCAAAGAAAGGAGAGACTGCTCACCTCCCAGTCACTGTGTGCAGGCCCAGGAAGTGGATGGGCTCACACCACAGCCTGTGGGTTTGTGGGGCCTGCAGAAAGAGGAGGCAGAGGAGATGACGACAGGCAGTCTCAAAAGAAGTGAAATTTACCAGCTTTCCAGCTGCCTACTGGTCTGGTCTGAGCTACCAGAGTGAACCCCAGGGGGATGTGGGGATATCCGGGATAAGGAGATTACAGCCCGTGGGAAGCAGGGGTTGGATGGTTTTTGGGGAAGGAGTCAGAGGTAAGGCTGGTGAGGAAACTTTTCCTTTCCTTGAGAGGTCAAGTTCTGGGGAAAAGCTACAGACCAGGAACCCACCTGTCTCGGCAAAGCTGATGATTTCACATTCCTGTTCCCTGTTGTCCTCCGGAAGTGCCCCCTGTGGGACCCCATGGAGGCGCTGCAGTGCAGTCCTCAAAGCAGCTCTGGACACAGGGCGGTTCAGTGTTGGGCGCTGGCTGAGGTGCAGCTTGTCCAAGATGCTTCTCTTGGCCAGATGAAGAAGCAGCTCCCGCTGGCTTTCCAGTTCCAAGGTGGGCCCTCCACATGCTGGACACTGACCACCAGCTCTGGGAGTAGCCACTGTGGTTGGAGCCAGGAGGAGAAAGGCCAGAAGCAATGAGGATGTCATTGCCGGGGGAGGCCCTTCTTGAGCAACACAGACTCAGGGCTCAGGGTCTCAACAGCTGTGGTCTCAACTCTGTCCTGGCTGCCAGAGGCCCTGGAAGAAGTGTGTGTCCAGCTGGCATGGCTCCTTGTTGCAGGGGACAGAGCAGCAGCCAAACATCTGACTTGAAAATGAAGCCAGTTACAGGTAAAACTTGGCAGAATCTGCCAACGCATAGTCAGTGAAAGTACAGAGTGGGGGACGTGAGGAGAGGTTGGTTTGTTTAGGGAAAGACATGTCCCTGGGCCAATGTTAGGAGACAGTTGTTATCCATGTGAGCTGCCAAGCCTGGGGACAAAGGTGAGAGATTAAATTTCTCCTCAGATCACTACCCTTGCTGGGAATCCTGGGGATGGGGGAAAGGCACAGATCACGGGTTTTGGGAAAGAATGTTAAAGGGAGACTCTCAAAGAAGAACAGGTCATTGGCAAGGCACTTTAGCTCACTGTCACGCATGAACAATTGAGAGTTGCATTCTTTTTTCCCTAGTGTTTCTCAAAGCCCATCCCCATCCCTCCATCCTCCCTCCCTGGGGTTCTCAATCTAGCCTTATTTGTTAGCCTTGGTTGAGTTTTGCCCAAGAGGTCTCAAAACCATGAAGTCTGAAGGGTAAGGGAAGGGAGGCACAGTGTTCTAGCCATGTCTTTGATGCTCTCAGAGGGAACTCTTAAGGTAGGCAAAGGCCTTGAGTTCCAAATTTGCTCACCCTTTGGGGTTTTTATCTGTCTTGGAAAAGAAGTTTTGAGATTTTTTTTTTTTTTTTTGAGACGGAGTCTCACTCTATCGCCCAGGGTGGAGTGCAGTAGCATAATTTTGGCTCACTGCAACCTCCGCCTCCTGGATTCAAGCAGTTCTCCTGCCTCAGGCTCCTGAGTAGCTGGGATTACAGGTGTGCACCACCACTCCCAGTTAATTTTTGTATTTTTAGTAAAGACGGGGTTTCACCATGTTGGTCAGGGTGGTCTCAAACTTCTGATCTCGTGATCCACCCGCCTCGGCCTCCCAAAGTGCTGGGATTACAGGCATGAGCCACCGTGCCCGGCCAGGAGTATAGGTTTTAAAGCCAGGTATTCTTGGTTATTGTTCTTCAGTTCTTGTACTTGTCTCGGAAACATTTCAGGCTTTCATTCTGTGTCACAGCACTGAGAAAAGAAAACAATTTTAATCTGGGAAATGCAAGTCTTTTAAAATGATCAGGCTCAGAGAGACATTAAAATGAGACAGCAGACCAGGCATGGTGGCTCAAGCCTGTAATCGCAGCATTTTAGGAGGCCAAAGCGGGCAAATCATTTGAACTCACGAGTTCAAGACCAACCTGGGCAACAGAGCCAGACCCTATACATACTAAAATTAAAAAAAATAATAAAATAAAAAGAAACTGGGAGTGGTGGTATGTGCCTGTAGTCCCAGCTACTCAGGAGGCTGAGACTGGAGGATCATTTGAGCCCAGGAGGTTGAAGGTGCAGTGAGCTGTAATCATACTGCAGCACACCTGCCTGGGAAATAGAGTGAAAGCGTGTCTCAAAAAAAAAAAAAAATTAATTAAAATAAATAAATAAATAAATAAAATGAGACGGCAATCATGTCCTACTCCTTGCTTTTGAGCTATGTATTCATCTCTTGATGAACAGCATCAAGCAATTGGCAACGTGGCAATAGCAAGCAATTGCCACAAGTAACTATAAATTAACCTAATAATGCTGCACTGGACACTATAACCTAGATCCTATAGCTTAACAATGTATAGCCAATCACTAATCCATGTTATTTCTGTAAACCAACAAGAATACCCGACAACTTTGTATCAGCCCACTCTCTGTCCCCTTCTTTTTAGCCCTTAAAACATGCTTGTAGGTGGGGTGTGGTGGCTCACGTCTGTAATTCCAGCACTTTGGGAGGCCGAGGTGGGCGGCTCACTTGCGGTCAGGAGTTTGAGACCAGCCTGACCAGCATGGTGAAACCCCATCTGTACTAAAAGTACCAAAAAATAAAAGTAAAAAATAAAAAAACATAAAAAAAATTAGCCGGGCGTGGTGGCACATGCCTGTAGTCCCAGCTACCTGAGAGGCTGAGGCAGGAGAATCACTTGAACCCGGGAAGTAGAGGTTGCAGTGAGCCGAGATCATGCAACTGCACTCCAGCCTGGGTGACAGAGCAAGACTCTGTCTCAAAAATAAATAAATAAATAAATAAATAAATAAATAAATAAATAAATCTGGTACTTTGGTTTAATTATTGTGCCTCAGGTTTCCTCATCTATAAAACAGGTATAATAATAGTACCTACTGTATTGAGGATTTGATAGTAACAGTAGATCTAGAATGCTACACATTGTATATTGTACTTACATACACATAATACAAATATTAACTATTATTTCCTCCTGGTCATCACTGCCTGATCTGGAACTCCTGAGCTCAAACGATCCTCCTGCCTTGGCCTCCCAAAGTGCTAGGTGTGAGCCACTGCACCTGGCCAAGACAAAAAGTTTAAATCGTGGTGAAAAGTGGTAGGTTAGATTAGTTCAGCTCAGTTTTTAGTTGTATTTTTCTTCCCCCGTTGCTGTTCTCCAGGGGGTTGAGAGAATTTGGGGGCAGGAGGCAGTAATGACCAGGCGAGAGGGCTGGGAGAGGTGGCTCACACCTGTAATCCCAGCGCTTTGGGAGGCCGAGGTGGGTGGATCACCTGAGGCCAGGAGTTCAAGACCAGCCTGGCCAACATGACAAAACCCCGTCTCTACTAAAAATACAAAAATTAGCCGGGCATGGTGGTGAGCACCTGTAGTCCCAGCTACTCGGGAGGCTGAGGCAGGAGAATCACTTGAACCTGGGAGGTGGAGGTTGCAGTGAGCTGACATTGCACTACTGCACTCTATCTGCCTGGGTGACAAAGTGAGACCCCATCTCAAAAACAAAAACAAAAACAAAACAAAACAAACAAAAAAAACAGGCCAACCAACCTGGAACTTGCTCATCCTTGAAGGAAAGATGAACTTCATGCCTCTATGACTTTGCTGGAATCTCCAGTCTTACCTCTCTAGTGAACTATTTATAGTCTCAAGATTAGCTGGAATTTCACCTGTAGTTTCTCTGTAACTTACTCAACCTCTTTTACCTCTAAGAATGAATTGCTGTTCCTTGTATTTCCATAGCACATTGAAACCTTTCTATTATAGCACTTAAATTGTACTATAATTATTTGACTTTTTTTTGCCTACCGCAGTTCCTGTCGCAAAGTACATATCTAATGGTCGAATTCTACAAAAGACTACTTTGCTTCTTTGAGGGAGTTTGGTTAGTAAATTATCCACACACACATAATCAATAACTAAATTGATTCTGCCTAGAATGGACAAAACGGGGAAGGTTGAAAATTTAAGATTTTTTTTTTTTTTTTTGAGACGGAGTCTCGCTCTGTCGCCCAGGCTGGAGTGCAGTGGCGCTATCTCAGCTCACTGCAAGCTCCGCCTCCCGGGTTCACACCATTCTCCTGCCTCAGCGTCCCGAGTAACTGGGACTACAGGCGCCTGCCACCACGCCCGGCTAATTTTTTTGTATTTTTAGTAGAGACGGGGTTTCACCGTTTTAGCCAGGGTGGTCTCGATCTCCTGACCTCGTGATCCGCCCGCCTCGGTCTCCCAAAGTGCTAGGATTACAGGCCTGAGCCATCGTGCCCGGCCTTAAGACGATTTTTGAAAACTGTATCTTAGAGAAGGGAGGATGGTAAGAATGTGATCTTAATAGGATAGACTGAGTTCCTCCTAGGTCAGGTTTTTTCATCTGTAAAATGGACATTTACCTGCTGAATTATAGTTATCCATGTGTACAACGAATACCGAGTGCACGTTCTTTGGTACAGGAGTTACTGCCCTAAGTGAAAGGCTGTTTTGAAAGTGCTCTGTAAATTGAAATTACTTTAGGATGATCACTATTAATATTATATTGAAATCCAGGGTATTCTATCTGACAGACTTGATGGGTTTAAGGAGGACCGAGGCTCCCAGTCGCTCCGGATTGGTGTCCTGACACAGGTAACGCGGAGGGAAGAAAGGGCTAGCGAGCGAGTGCGAGTGCGCGCGCGCCCGCGGGAGTGCGTGCGGCAGGCGGTAGGCCCCGCAGGGCTGCTGAGGCGCACGCGGGCAGGCAGGAAGCGGGGACAGACTGAACGCAGGACGCGGTGACGAAAACGCCGGACGTAGTGACGTAGCGCGCAGGCCGCAGCTGGGGGCGGACTCTGGGCTTTTCTTCCCCTTCTGATTTCCCCTCCCCCTTTTTCTCCCTTTCCGGGTTTGGTTCCCCCCTTTTCTTCCCCTCTCCCCCTTCCTTCCCAAGCCCCTTTCCCCTCCCCCGCCCCAGTCCCCCCTGTTTCCCAGCCCTCGGCCCTGGGGAAGCCCCGGCCGAGAAGAGCCCGCCCCCAGAAGCGCGCCGCCGCCGGCCGTCGGGGCCGAGCCGCAGCCGAGCGGCCGTGGGCCCGGGCGGCGGGCGGAGACGTGTGCGCCCTCCCCGCTACGGCCCGTGCGAGGTGAGGCCACCTCCCGGCCGAGGGGGCGGGCGGCCCGGACGGCCTGTGGGGAGGGGGCGTGGCGGCCGCGCGGACTGGCGCTAGGAGGCCCCGCGGCCTGGGTTTCCCGCGCCGGGCAGCCGGTCCCAGGGGCGATGGGTCAGGGTCGGATGGCCCGGGGAAGGAGTGTTCCAAGTGTGCGCAGCTGGAGAGAAGCCGGAGGGCGCGGGGCGGAGGGCGGAGGGCGGCGGTGCGGGGGAAGAGGGATGGCGCCACCTGTGGCCTTTGCGGGGGCACCTAAAAACTGTTGTGCCCTTGTAGTGCTTCGGGGTGGCTAGCTCCGTGTGTTTCTTGGGTGGCGGTTTTCCTTCGAGCTTGGAGCATGGAAAAATAGGACGGAGAGGTGTAGAAGTGTTTAAAATCATACTGGTGTCCAGGTTTATCACAGGGATGGGGATTTGAGTTGGCACATACAGGGATATGTTTCTATAGCTTAAAACTTGGGCCTACACTAAGCTCATAACTTGCTTGAGCCCCTGAAAACGCTTTGATTCGTTTTCCTGTAGAGCTAACATCTTTAAACATTTGTGGCCATTAGTCTCGGAACTACCAGGAATTCTGTCTTAGAGTGAATTTTTATTGGATAATGAGGAGAAATGACCGAATAACAATCCCAGAATTGCGTTAAAACGGAAGAAAGAAAAGTGGAAAAGTTTAAATTCAGATCCCAGTTAGGTGAATATCCTTGTACATGTGTTGTTCAAATGGATAACTAAGACTGAGAAGCCTGAGTCCTGTCTAATGTGCATAAGCCACGTGGAGACTCAAGGAAGGAGGAAAGTGACAGGTTTCATTTCAGGCATATCACAAATTCCTAGCATTTTCTTGTATTTTTAGATAGATTTGCAGTTGAATTATTTGTGGCTTTTCTTCCTAATGCTTTTTTTTTTTTTTCGTTTTCTTCCACCAATATTCCCCCA